ACCACAACAGACCAGACATCACACTCATTGACAAACACAATAAAATCACATACATTATAGACATAGTCATTCCAAACACTCACAATGTACAAAACACATGCACAGAAAAAATTAGGAAGTACACAGAACTCGCCCAGGAAATCAGGCATCTGTGAAGGATGGATAGGGTGCTTATTGTACCTGTCGTTCTCTCCTGTACAAATGTGATACCACACACGCTATGCAAAAGCCTGGGAACATTACAATTGAGTAGAAATACATACATCACACTACAGAAGGCCACAATATTAAATACATGCCATATTGTTAAGAAATTCCTGAATACAGACACTGACACACACATTTAATTTTAGTTTTGTTTTGGTTGCTATGCCTTGACTCTGATCCGGCATAGTACACAGCCACCGGTGTGTACCGAGTATAACCCACTAAACCCAATAGATAAAGAATTCCTACATCCCACAGTACAGAAAGTAGACTACAAAATCAAATTGCAATATTAAAAACAGATATTAAATTTATCATCGAAAATAGCATAAGGAAAAGTTCATCACAAAAAACGATATTTTAAAACATTACTTTTATAGGCACTTTCAATTTTTACTTAGAAATAGATAAATTCATTTATTATAAAAGAGACAAACAAAAATTTATTTGAAAAACACAAATATGTTTTATTTGGGTCTTTAATTAATAAAAATCGACAAAACACCATTTTAAAATGCATTTTTATTAAAATAATAGATCTATAAATAATATGTATCCAAAAATGTAGCAAAATTTATAAATAAATTAATTAATAAAAAATTTGTCGGTTTTGTTTACACGTGTATTGGGTCGCATTTTTTTGCCTTGGGCCACGGGTTGGACACCTCTGATCTAAATCGAGATCTCTGCGAATTACAAAATGTACGATTCTGAATTACAAATGACATTGTTATCATCAAACCGCATGACTTTTAAACTCTCAAACTCAAGGATGTGTGTAGACTTTATTACTGATGTGTTAAAATTGCAGGGATTTTCCACCGAGCTGACAAGTTAACCTGGTCTTGGGTTCGTGCCCACCACCCTGCAGGTACAGTACACCTTACTACCAGAAAGCCGACGTCAGCGACCGTCTCCACCCCAGCACTAGATGCCGTGGTGGTAGTGGTCACATCTCAAAAACATAGTCAAAATGGCTTAGCCCAGAGACCAAGCTGTGCCTGAGCACGCGACTAAGAGACCTCGACCAAAGGCAGGGCACCGAATGCTTCCCACGCTTTAGCGCACGGGAATCAGTCAGCTTACAGGTATACAAAACCTGCACCTTGATGTTAGCCAAAAGGCCAAGAAGTTTGTTTTGTTGTATTCTTGTTTAGCGTCAAACTTGGTTCTTAAGAACTACATATACATCGTGGGTTATGAAACTGGTGCTTCTTAAAAACATAAAAGTCGTGTTTCCACAATGCTATCCTTCTGATTGTTAAAGGGTTCATCTCTCTATTTTATAAGGGAAACGCTCAAGAAAACAGGAAGAGTCAATTCTTAATGAGCCATTATGTCAGGTCCGTGTATATAAAAAGATCTTGTCCCCAATTACCGTAATAAAATACGCTTTTTGTGTAGTTTTATAAGTCATCTAACATTCAATGTTAGATAAAGCTAGCTGGAAATAGAAAAGAAACATTCAATGTTAAAACAATGCATTAGCATCATACAGATTAATAGTACAGATGATTTTTCTCGAGAAATTTCTGCCAAATGTGGAAATCTCTACTGCATGTATTTTTTTTTTGTACATCAAAACTACTCAGGACAGTATACATGTCAAATATCTTTAAGATTTACCCAATAGTTTTTTCTAGAGACAGTTTTGAGTTTTGAACACCCTGCTTATTGTTTCATTGAATCATATCTTTAATTATGCTATTTTCCTTAATTTTTATTTAATTAATTAAACTATTAAAGTTCATTTAATAGTACAAAGCATTTCATACAATTAGCATGTTTATTTCATCGAAACCAAAGCAAAATTAACACTGCAAATAGATATGTATCTTTTCGAAATGAACTTTCACGTATAGTTAGCTGATTCTCTTCAAATGGTGGAATGTGTTTAACACCGAAAAAACATTCGTTATTGAATGGTAATATAGGTACATTCGGGTACATTTCTGTAAATAAAGACAATGCTCCTTTGTTTTCTGCATCGTCATTTACCGAATTTTGGCTAAAATAAAACGCTATAGATTTGTACGCCACGAAGTGCCCAAGAGTAGGAAATATTCTTCTCAGTGCATCTTTACTTCTGGGTAGTTTTATTGACATAGCTTTAAGTCTCCTTCCTGAAAACACTATGCATCTGTAGTCCTCATGACGTTTCTTAACGTCTTCAAGATTAGCTAGGCCTGCTAACGCGCATTTTGGTGTAACATTTAACAGTCGGTGGTCTATTTTGCCACTCAAGAACCATAAAACACATTTTGTTTCCTCATCTGGAATTTTCGTAAGTTTTGAAAAGTTCGTCTTACTCGGCTCCATCATTTCTTGAATTTCCACAGACGAAAAAGTAAATCTGTTCATGTTCACACCCGGGAAAGACGGAAAAAATGCGATCCAAACGTAAAATAGATCCATGTCAAAGTCCTCTTCCGATTTTTCTTTAGCATTAAACGGACAATAACTTAAATTCAGTTAAAATAAAAAAAAAATTAATTTTTATGTTTTCATAAAACATTGCACAATACTTACTGTATAGTTTATTAATTCCGAACTTGAGTGGATCGTGTAACTTTTTGTTGCATATATGGCAATCAACATTCCAACTACTATCGAAACCCACAATAAAATTACGGCTTTCTTCTTCTTCTTTAACGTAGTGAAACAAACAAGAAGGTGAAACAAAAGCAATCATTCGCATTAACCAGCGTGGCAATATCTATAAATAGGAACAAACATTAAAATTTATTATATCCTCTAGAACATGGCATTTAAGATTTCATGAAGTCCATGAACTTAGATAAGAATATTACAATTTTATCTTCACTCATTTTATAAGCGCATATATATTGTATATTAATAATTTATTCTTTTTTAAATAGCCTGATAACTATATTTCAATATAATTGGGCTGCGATTTTAAAATTACAGACCTATAGATTTCCTCTGTTGCACGTTTGTCTGTCATTCGTTAATTAATTAATTAATCTCGAGAATGGAGTTATATATATGAAAATCGAGACCAGATATGGAAAGCTTATTTTGCATCAAAATATGATTAATATTGCAGCCAGGCATTGTGATGATGTCACAATAATAAAGTAGTCATTAATTATATGTAATCTTTTACATTTTATGCACTAAAAACGATTGTTTTGTTACGAATACGTAGGCTTCAATAGATAAACAACAAGGTCAAAGCTACAAAAAAAATTGCTTATTGATGGCGGAGTTCATAAAATTACTAAACACTGATGATTAGCGCCTCATTGAGAGGCTGATCGCGTGAATTTTTCCAGATTTTCTCAGACTTAAACGGGCAATTCCCGTAGAAATTACTTCCCCAGGAATCATTTTTCCTTGGCGGATCGCCCACGTGTAGCTTTTCAAACGGAAACTCATTGAGTGGTTTTTCAGAAAAGTCGGACTAACAAAGGCATGTGGAAACACGTTTCAAATGGTGCATTGCTTAGTAAGCGGTTTTAATACAACCGGATAAGAATACTATTGACATAGCTTATCCGGCTGTGTTAAGGCTTCTTTACACAGCAAAAATATTTCTTGCGTTCTGTATGTTAGAAGCTTTCAGATACAACAAGTTTTTACTTCATAGCTTTAATACTTTGGCGGAAAAAAGAAATACGCTTGGCTTCTCACAGAAATCAAGTTGACTAAGTCGCAGTAAAAACATTTATTGATTTTAACCGTTAATCAAGCTTAACCGTTATGTTAAGGTTACTTTCAGACTGGTTACTTGGTCGCACCACTGATTGGCACTATCGGTCGCGTGTACAAGTGACTCATATGTACCACTAAGAGGTAAGGGCACTTGATGGCCTTTGTGAAAAATCTATCCCAAACGAGGATCCGTGACTACCTATCACAGACAAGCGCCACTAACATTTGTCTGAAAGCATATCTCCAATATACTAGGATTTCAGTGAAGATAAATGGGCGTTATTGAATAGCGCGAGCAAAAGCAGCCCTGTACTGTACATCATACTTTCCTGTTAACAATGCAATCATGCCAGTCATCTACAGTGATACCTCGGTTTTCGTTCTTTAATCCGTCTGAAAACAATCGGCGAAATCCGAAACCAACGAAAATCGAGGCAATTATTTCCATATGAATTAATATAAATCCAATTAATTCGTTCTAGACACTCTAAATTACGATACCAAAACCACATTCTATAGAGAATAAATGTTGTGTTTAATACTAAAAACAATAAGATATTAATGTAAAATGAATATAAAAAACTAATGTGAAGAATAAATGAACATTTAACATGGTATTTAACATGGCATTCGAAGAGCTGCTGGCTATGGAAAATTTCTTTAGTCCATGATGGAGCTAAAAGAAAAGGAAAGCAATGGAAATTGTTTGGCTAGACACGCGGGGTAATGCTCACACAACGAGAAAGAACGGCACACTTATCAGGAAAACACGTGGGTTGCCCTATGCTTTTACAAAATTATAAGGAAGTCACGACGAAAACCGAGACAAATTATTCGCGAAATAAGTCGATGATAACCGAAGTCGACGAAAACCGAGTTATTACTGTATCTAACTCACTTCAGGAGAAAAATTTTGAATTGAAATAACGTAACTTCCGGTTTAAACCGGAAGTTCGTATATAGTTAATCGTGACTTTCTGCATTACGCTTTCCAGTTCTGGTTTGAGTTTAATCTTTCTAACTCTGTTCTAGAGATTAAGGACAGACAGACAGACACGCTACTGGGAATTTATTAGGCTACAATTTTTCAAAATTGCTGCCCAGTTGTGAAATTTAGACTATATAAAATAAGCATTTAAGCAATTGAATAGCCATTTAATTTGCTTACTTCGTAGCACGCATGAAATGTATACTTAATGATGTTTTCAAATCAAAATACATTAAAATATTTATAAAACTAGTTTCAAGGACCCGCTTCGCTGGGTTTTTATTTGTGGGCAAAAAGTAACGATAGTGAAGATTAAGATAATTACATTATAGCCAATCTTACCCGTTTTCACAAAATGCAAGAATTAGGTCCCCCGTTTCCAGACTAATTAGAGAATTTTTACGTCCAGTCAAACGAACNTTTCCTTTCTTCTCTTTGCTGGAATCAGAGACGAGCCGCCATTTTACTCGCCATAGGTAACGTTATCCAATTGTTCTTACTTATTAGTGCAGTCTAAAGATTGGTGACACTTTGAATTTCATAGCAATTGGTTTTTTTGACAAGCACACCTATTTGTGGTACATTTATTTGTGGCAAAGATCTTATTTTCACTTTACCGAGTGCCTAGTAGGTAATGTGCGGATTACCTAGATACTCTGCACATTATCTAGGTATTTTGAGAAATGGAACAATTTTCACAACTTTAACGGATCACGCTAGTTAATCTGCAGATTAGCTAGATAATCTGCAGATTAACGACTTTCGAGCTTTAGCGGTAACATGGACATTATATAAATGTACTGTACAGTACACTAATATGTTTGATGTAATGTGAGCGTATAGTGCTTCCCTCCAGATGTATGCGACTCATGCATCACCCTATATTTTATTTACTGTTACAAAATGATTTGTGTATATTGTACATGTTTTTATTTTTATATTATGGCCTAGTTAAGTCTTCTAACTTATTTAAAGCTGTTAATTATACTTTAAATTTTTATTTGTTTTCCTTCACATCATTAACGTGTACTCTACAGTATGTAATGGTGGGGAATAAACATATGTTATATTAACATAAGATCTTTAGAAAATTCCTAATCTCTGCACTACGGTATAATTTGTTAAAGAAAGCATTTTCCTCAACAACGAACTCCTTTAGACTGGTGTTTTGCTTCATTAATTAAGCCTCTTGATACTATTTGCTTTATTATGCCTTTATTTCTTGGTAGTTATAGGTCTTAATGCTATTTGATTAAAGCTTGATAAAGCATCTGTTTAATTCTTTTCGTGTAAATTACAGTAAATAGTATAATTTTAGTACAATATACTATATGTTTGGTTACCCGGCTTTATACATACTTTATTTTTGAGTTGAAATGAAATATTTTCAAATAATTAGAAATGTGTGAAAGAAGAAGGAATCAATGTTGCCAAATGTTTTTAGTGTTGTAGCCAAAATTTTTAAAAAAAATAGCCCAAAAGTAGCCAACTTAAAAAATTCCTTTTTAATATCCCAAGATTTGACGATAAAATAAAAGAACACGCCATTTATGCTTTTCCAGCAATAACTTTAATCATAATAAATGTTTTCGGCCAATTTACAGGCCTGTAAACTGATCGAAAATAACTCAAAATATATGTACACACTGTAATTTACTATGTCGAAACACTTGTTTTATCTGCAAAGTAGATTGCAACGAATTATGAAACAAATGATCTTGCCAAGACGGAATATAAAAAATCAATTTTTTATGTAATATTCTTAATAGTTATTAATTTGCTATTGCAAAAAATTTATCAAACTATAATTATTTAATTAATTTGAAAGTTAACTAATAGATTTATTTATTAAGCCAATATGTACTGTGCAATAATAATAATAATAATAATAATAGATAAAGAATTCCTCTCCCGTGGTTACCACCTGGTCGTGGTGGGAGAGCCCAGTAGTTTTACAGATCCATAGGGCAATGCAGGCTGGAGCAAAAGCTCCTGGTAGGGACACCCATGCCAGTAAGATCTATGGGGAGAAATGAAGCTAAGAGTGACCACACATCCACATTTTGTGGAGATAATCATTATGGTAGTAACCAGATCTAAGTATGATACCGGCTCGTACGTCGCCCGGGTTAACAAGGTCCGCGTTCGTGGGTTAGGCAGAGGCTCACGTTCGAAAAATAGGCCACAGTCTCCCTTGGTTACCGGTGGCGAAAGCAGCGCCGGCCCAAGCATGGCTACTGCAATGCCCTCAACAGATGTGAGGAAT